CTGTATTTGTCCACTAAGCTTTCCATACAGTCGCCCATGCTCCTTCCTATACTCAGTAAACATGATCACTTGAACCCCTCCCAAAACAAAACTAAACCCTGCCCTTCCAAATCGTCTGAAGCCAACTCGCCTAATGAATCAAAATCCAAATAGGTACACACCGACGTTTCGAGAACGAAGCTCGGCAATAGAACCTCGCTTCGCACGGACTCCTGGCGCTGGCCTGGTTGAATCCGGCGGCGGCGGAAAGTCCTAAGCGTTACCGATGGGTAACCCTAGAGAGAAGCAAATCTATTTAGACTTTATCAAAGTTAGAAACCATGTTTGGAAAATGATGCTTATATTTGGGACCGAAATATTAGATACTCCGTAGTTGAAATTAGAGGTGAAAGATAATAAATGGCAAAAAAGCATAGCTCATCATATTGATGTAGCTAGATATATATACGTAGTATTAGAGCTTGAGAAGCTCCAGGTTGTTACAAGTGATAAGGTTTGATATACAAGGATAATATCCTAATACAAATAAGCTACGTAAAGGATAATTATACAAAGAATATAATTGGATAATACATGAATAATAATATAGACATTATATTCTATCATGCCCCCGCAAGCAAAGGGATCCGGGGAGGATGCCAAGCTTGGATCGATGAGAGAGAAACAACTTCCGATGAAGAGGTTTTGTGAGGGAATCAGCAAGTTGGTCGTGAGTGGGAACATGAACAACTCGAAGAGAACCATTATCAACTTGTTCACGGACAAAATGAAAATCAATAGCAACATGCTTCATACGTGAGTGAAATACTGGATTGGCACACACATAGGTAGCACTTAGGTTGTCACAATAAACAGTAGGAGCACGGGGAGGAGAAATGTGCAATTCTTTAAGAAGATTACGTATCCAAGTGAGTTCGGCTGTGGCACCGGCAATGGCCCGGTATTCAGCTTCAGTAGATGAACGAGCAACGGTAGTTTGTTTTTTTGAGCTCCAGCTAATGGGATTACGGCCAATGAAGATGACATAAGCAGAAGTAGAGTGACGTGTATCAGTATCACCGGCCCAGTCGGCATCAGCAAATGCATGCAAAGAGAGAGGAGTATGAGCAGATATATAAATACCAAAATGAGTTGTGCCTTTGAGATATCTAAGGACACGTTTAACAGCCTGCCAATGGAGCGTAGAGGGACAATGCATAAACTGGGCTAATTTGTTGACTACAAAACTGATATCTGGACGGGTGATGGCCAAGTACTGAAGAGCACCTAAAACACTACGGTACTCTTTGGGATCGTAAGAGGCAGCACCATCTTTCAATGATAGATGGTCATTAGGGGAGATAGGTGTAGGTACAGAACTGGCATCTTGCATGTTGGTACGACTAAGTAAGTCACGGGTATACTTGTGTTGACTGAGAAAAAGTCCTGATGATGAGCGTAAGGCTTCCAAACCAAGAAAATATGATAAGGAGCCCAAATCTTTGAGAGAGAACCGACTGGCCAACCGGGTAATAAATGATAGAACAGTAGATTCAGAGTTACCCGTGATGATGATGTCATCCACGTAAACCAAGAGGAAAAGAAGACAGCCCGATGTATGATGGATGAAGAGGGAGACATCACTTTTGCTATTAGTAAAACCAGAGGCGAGGAGATAGGTGCGAAGTTCACAGTACCATGCCCGGGGTGCTTGACGCAGACCATAGAGAGCTTTGTGGAGGAGGCAAACATGGCTAGGATGATTTGGATCAACAAAACCGGAAGGTTGCTGCATGAAAACTTTATCAGATAAGGTGCCCTGTAAAAAAGCATTATTAACATCCAATTGTCTAATTGGCCAGTGATGAGTAACCGCTAAAGTGAGAACAATTCGGACGGTAGCCGGCTTAACAACCGGGCTAAAAGTATCAGTAAAATCAACGCCAGGGCGTTGGTGAAAACCTTTGGCAACAAGCCTTGCTTTATATCGTGCAACAGAACCATCAGGATTTTGCTTAACCCGAAAAACCCATTTACAACCAATAACATTTTGTGTGGAATCAGGAGGTATAAGAGACCATGTTTGATTTTTATGAAGAGCAGTGATTTCTTCCTGCATAGCAGTGCGCCAATGAGGAAGGAGATTTGCTTGTTTGAAGGTTGTGGGAGCAACTGGTGCAGGGGTTTGAAGTGTAGTATGCAAGGCATATTTTGGATTAGGCTTGAAAATGTTGTTTTTAGAACGGGTGATACGGGGAGAGAGAAGAGGCTTACTTGATGCATGAGAATTCATGCACGTAGATGGATGTTGGGTGGAATGAGTGGGAGGTGGGATGTTGGGTGAGGATATGGGTTGACTTGGGGGTGCATTAGAATTAATGCACGTAGATGGGATATTGTTATTAAGTGGAGATGTTGGTGGGGTATTATTTAGGTGAGGTGGAGAGATAGAATTTGTGGGGGAAGGTGGATCAGTAGTGGAAGGATAAGGGATGACAAGGTGAGGAGATAAGTGTTGACTAGGTAAATGTGGCGCAGATTTGCTGGAGGAATTAGTGGTGGCCGTTTGGGGGGTGAGAGATGGATAGAATTGTTCAAGTATATGTGGAGGAACGGTGAGAGGAGTATTAGCTGATTTATAGGGTAAAATATGTTCATGAAAAATGACATGCCTAGAAATATACATACGATTTGTTGATAAATCAAGACAGTAATTTGCATGATGTGTGGGGGAAAAACCGAGATATAAACAAGGACGAGAACGAGGTTGTAATTTATGATTACTATATGGACGGAGCCAGGGATAACAAAGACATCCAAAAATACGAAGAGTCCGATAATTAGGAGTGTCTCCGAATAATTTGGAAAATGGACTTTGGTGAGATAAGAGTGGAGTTGGGAGACGATTTATGAGATATGATGCATGTTGAAATGCATAGGTCCAAAATTTGAGTGGGACCCCGGCATAAAATAAGAGGGTAAGAGCTGTTTCAGTAACATGACGGTGTTTACGTTCAGCAGAACCAACATGTTCAGGTGTATATGGGGGAGATTTGAGATGCTCAATTCCATGTTTGGAGAGTAGAGGTGTGAGAGCTTGAAATTCACCGCCACCATCACTATAAAGAGTTTGAATTTTTGTGCTAAAATAATTTTCAATGAGAGCACGAAATTTATCAAAGACAGAATAAACATCTGATTTATATTTGAGCGGAAATAACCAAGTGTATTTGGAATAGTAATCAATAAATAGAACATAATATCGTTCATTATTAATTGAGGTAACCGGGGATGGACCCCATACATCGGTATATAAATACTGAAATGGACGGGTACATTTTATTGAGGAAGAAGAGAAAGGTAATTTATGCATTTTTGCTTGAATACATGAATCACATGAGTCAACAGGTTTATTTTGGGGACATAATTGACGATGGACTTGAGCAGATGGTTGACCGAGGCGGTAATGCCATAATTGAGAGACTGTGAGATTGACTTGAGGACGAGTGGAACGAGGCCAAACATAGAGATTGTTTTCACTCCGGCCGCGGGCCAAGGATTCCCCCGTGAGTAGATCCTTCACAATAAAAGAGTCGGGTGAGAATTCAATAGAGGTACGGTTTTGTTTACAAAACTGATTAACGGAGATGAGATTAGTATGAATATGTGGAGCACACAAAATGTTATTAAGTTTAAAATGAGAGTGGGGAGAAGAAATAACCGAGGAACCTGTATGAGATATAGAGAGACTTTTACCATTACCAAGCATTACTGAGTCAGGGCCACCGTAGTCAGAGTGAACTTGAAGGTTGTTGAGGTCCGAAGTGATATGGTGAGTAGCACCAGTATCCAGGAGCCAATTGGAAGGGGAAGAACTAGTAGTAGTACTGGAGGCAACATTAGCAGCAGGGGGGAAACGACTGTAGCATGTCTTAGCGGTATGGCCTGGTTTGTCACACAATTGACAAGTAGCAGCGGGAGAACCAAATCCCTGGGAATGAGGTATGGATGCAGAATACGGAGATCGACCACGACCACGACCTCGTGGTTTAGCAGATGAACCACGTCGTTGAGTGTATTGCGCCGTAATAGGGACATCAAAGCTAGTGGGCTGATCTCCGGCAAGAATTTCAGCTTCAATAAGAAAGTCACGTAATTGCTCAAACGAAGGAGGAGTAGGTTGGACACGGAGTGCGCCAACCAGGTCTTTGTATTCGCCGCCTAATCCAGTGAGAATATAGGAAGCAATCTGACCAGTGCTTTGAGGGTGACCTATGGTGGCGAGATCGTCGATGAAAGTGCGCATGGTGGCCATATAATCAGCAACGGATTTGCCAGCCTTTTTTGTGGTCATCAAAGAGGAGAGCAAAGAGAGCATTCGAGTTGTGGAGCTGTTAGCAAAGCTGGTCTCAAGCTTTGTCCATGCCGAGGAAGAAGAGGTGCAGGAATTGATGATAGGGCTAATAGTGACAGCCACTGTGGACTGAATAGCCAGTAAAACTAGTCGATCTTGACGTAACCACAAGGAGCGATTGGCATCGGAGGAAGTCGGGCAGGGGGTGGAGCCGTCGATGTATCCCAGGAGATCATAACCAAATAATAGGTTAGTGAGTTGTGATTTCCAAGATGAATAGTTGCTGCCATCTTTAGATAATTTGATTGGAATTTGGGAAGAAGCATTGAGAGATATGAGCTGGGAAAGATCATGTTGGGTGGGTATGAGGTGTGAGGCAGAGGTAGTAGATGATGGCATCGTAAATGGATCGGAGATCAATCAAAAGATTGAGGCGTCTGATACCATGAAAGATAATAAATGGCAAAAAAGCATAGCTCATCATATTGATGTAGCTAGATATATATACATAGTATTAGAGCTTGAGAAGCTTCAGGTTGTTACAAGTGATAAGGTTTGATATACAAGGATAATATCCTAATACAAATAAGCTACGTAAAGGATAATTAAACAAAGAATATAATTGGATAATACATGAATAATAATATAGACATTATATTCTGAGGTACCCTGGTTGAGATTATTATGTTGATTTCCGCCGCCCTTCCAAGTTAACACCATAGCCGTATAGGTCTGTAGAAGCCAATTTTCCTTTAGCTAATAGGCGACGCTGGCTAGCAACTTCAGGGTCCGCTTGCCGCATAGTCAGCCACTCAGCCTAGAAGCAAAGGCCATTGCTGCCCACCAGGTAATTCTCTGCATTCTATAATGGCCCCTCCCCCATTTTGGGATTGTGCGAAAGCTGAATCAACATATCAGTAGAGCCTTCGCTTTTGGAGTGTTTTGTATATAGTTTTTACATGTATTTATATATTAATATTTATTTGATTTGAAATTTTATAAAAAAAATAATAATGTTTAAGTGAATCTTAGAAACAACCCATCACATGGAAGTAATGGAACATACTGATTCATTACAGTCAATTTGAATGCAGAAGTTCTTAAATTTAAGCGTTGGCTGTTACCATGGATGGTCCGAGGTTGCCTCAAGACTGTTTCTTGCCGGAAGAAGCTTTCAATAAATAGTAATAATAATAGCAAAAACAACAATAATCGTCATCTCCCTGTTTACGCTAAAGTCGCTTACATCTTAGGCCTTCAAGTCTCTCCTTCTCACAGGTTTTTATTTTTATTTATAAACATTAAAAATACAAACATTACTTTGAAAAATGGAATTTATTGTTTGTTAATGTTTATATTTTGTGTTTTATTTATAGGAAGTTATAACGTTTTTAAATTCAATGCATGGTTTATATTTAAAAGAAAATGGAGATTGAGTACAATCTGGTTTAACTTGTTAATTGAAGTTGACGGAAATTCATGAGTAAATATTGATTGGTACTGCACAATCACTGGCCTTGATTTCGGGGAACATGTTGACTGATGACTGTATCAATATTTTTCAGGTGCAAGATAGTTCTTCAGGACTCTTGAAGAACTATATTTGAAGACGCTCTAACAATTGTTAGTGGAAATCAGCCTGCAAAATCTCAAGGAAGAGCTATCCATCTGTCTACCATGGAGTTTTCAGAGGACTGGAAGTCCCTATGGCCAGTATCCTTATCCTTCTCTCCCCCGCTCCTTCTTCCAAACAAAGCATCAAAGCGCCCCTGTCTCGAGAAAAGCTCCGTCGGACCCCTAATCTTCAACCCATGTCGGAAAATGTTGGTCCAGCTTTTGAACCCCCCCTCCATATGCCCCACTCCCCCTCCATATTCAGAAGTCACCTTTCCGGAATTTCTATCGACTTCAAGTGCCCTACGCCACTACCCATTACCACTACGATTGCATCTGATTTGGGAACCCCACAGGGTCTTAGCACTGTCCACAACCACAATGCTCTTCATCTGTTCCATTGCCCTAATGTAAAATCTGGTAGTGATCATACTATGGTTCTTACTTTTTTTCCCACCGGTGATAATTATGACCAGCTAGGGTTTGCTATGCTCATTTTGAAAGATTCTAAATTTATGAGCGTAATTCAGGGACAAGAGCGATTTCTTTGTGCATAGCCACAGGTTGAATCATCGGATATCTAGATTATTGGTAAACCCAGTCTCTGATTTTGATGTCTTTTCATCATCATCCTGTGGTTATCTGTATTCAACCTTGCATTATACTGTTATTGGGCATGTCATGGTTTGCACGACATTTTCTGTGCATTGGTATATTGTTAAGATGCCTAAAGAGCGCTTAGGAGATACAGTTTTAGAATATGGTGGCCATGCTGGTCTTAAGTTATTTCAAGGTTCTTCTGTTGTTCATGCGTGTTAGAGATCACACATGAGTGTATTGTGCTTCTTGAGAACGGAAAACTCTTCTTGTTTGATGGGAGTTTTTGGCTGAAGAAAAGCAACAAGAGAATTGGAGAAGTTCAAGGCAAAAAATTGTGTATATCATGGGGCAATGATTTGAATGAAAATAATGGGAGGTGGTTGAGTTGTGAATTCAGTTGTTGCTCATTCTAATATTCTTTTCCTAGTTGATTTGAGGTCTGATAGGTGTCAAGTTTCTACTTTACTAAATATTGATTTTTTATCCACAGGGAATTCTGATAGATTTGTTGCTATATCTAGGTCAGATTCCGGCGGCTTCTATTTTGCTGCTTCCTCAAACAGTTTACTAATACTCCGTGATGTGAGAAAATCATTCGTCCCGATGTTGCAATGGGGCATGGGCCCACAATCTCCAAAACCCTGAATACATCACTGTTTTCAAATTATCCAAAGCTTCGACCAACTACCAAGATGATGATCAGTTCAAGTGGGCATATGAATATGGCCGCTGCATTTTATTATGTTCATTTTGGAATTGTGAATTTAGTCGTTTTTTCTACGAACCACCGGATGACAGGAGGGATCCACATGCTATATCAACTGTCTGCAACTCATTCTCTTCGTGTGGTCTCCCTTCAGAACTGTGTTTGTCGGGGCATGACTGTTTTTGTGGAAGTTGTCTTGTAAGAGGAGATATCCTCAAGGATCTTCTTCCTGTTTGGGTTGACTGGAAACAGAAGAAAGACGTTGTATTGGGTTTGGGATTCTTGATAAAGCTTCATGTGATAATCGTGATAGGTTCTCTCTGGTTAGGTTAATGTCCTCTGGCAAACCGGAAGCTCAAAGATACGTTGCGGCTTGGGAGTTCAATAGCATTTCGGGAAAAGCCCACAAAGAGTCAATGTTCAGTACCATCGATGATAATTTTCTGGTATTTATGTGGAAAATATAAAACTTAAGCTTAATCATCTGAGAATGTACTTTCTGAAAGAGTTTCTGAGTGACAATCTTACTCAGCTTGTTGAGAGGAGACAAATAAACCCCCGGATTTCTGCTAAGCAAAACGAATCAAAGTTCCATCATGAAATATGTGAGAAGCTGAATAGTTGTGGCATCACTGCATTGTTAAGACCGCCACAAGGTATTCTAGAAATGTTAAAAAAAAGCTGTCACCTTTCCCACTAGCATAAATGAGATTGCTTTGAAAAGTATTTGGGCTAGTTCGCCTATGAGTCTCCTTGCCCCCGGCTGCTTTCTCTGTTTTTCCCGTCGGTGGTGATGTGGTTTTAGATAAAACCCGAGTTCCTTTCCCCTTTGCCTCTTCATCTGATGAACAAGTGCAATATTCTTCTTCTGATGCTGCTGCTGCCCATGTCAGCCCAGTTCTTCCTACTCATTTCCTGATTGCTCTTCGTAACCTGCAATTGGAAGAAAACGATATTTCACCGGTTGATGATGAATTCCAAAATGAGTGTGATAAAGTAATGAAATCGGCATGTTCCATGCAGAATGGCGATATGGCTTCACTTGCCGGCGAAAAGGATGAGATACCAAACGTGGCTGGTAAAATGATTTTTTTTTTGTTTTGACAGACCTACTTTTATTTCTTCACTAGAAAAATCTGATGATAAACATAGTAGGACATATGAGACCTTTGTTTACCAGAAATGCCAGAAGGAGGTGTTAGGGGTGGTGAAGGAGGTATTTGATGAGGGGTGCCCATTAGATTTGAATTTTAATAGCTGTGGTTTCGACTTGACACCAAATGAACTGAATTTTCTTCAACGCATGAAGAGGCACGACTTGAATTTTGCAGAACAATTCCAACCATATCAGGAATATCTGAACAATGAGTTGAATTTTGGAGGATTGTACGAGTGCATTTAAAGCTTCCCTTGATCCAACCATAGCACTTGGCGGCTTTTCGGGTAACAGTTACTCAGAGGTAATCCTTTTTTACATTTCTCTTGCATGAGTTAATGAGTTGTATATCGATTTTGCATTTTGTTGATCTTACACTAGCAATGTTGATCTAGCAGGTTGTGCTATTGAATAATTTAATTGACTTGATCTAGTTTTCATTTAGTCTTTGTCTATTCTGGTTCTTTTAGCCTGACTAAGTGCTTCTGTATTTTTGTCAGGCTATGAATATGGTGTTGTTCAAGCATCAGCATTTATGCTATGCACAGATTAAATTTTTCATCTGATTTCATCTAAAGTCCTTTCAATATTTTATTTACTTATTTTAAATGGGCCATGTTAATTATCAAGAGCTGTGTGGAATTTTGCTTTTAGAATGTCTGATTCTTTGAAGGTAACCTTTATGACGCTGACTAAAATATGCACTTGTAGTTCAGTATTCACAGTATTTGAGTTTGTTAGTAGTTCGCAGTCGTTCTTTTCATGCAAGTTTTTTTCTTTCCCAAAATTTCCTATTAATCTACTTTTGGGCGTTCAAACTTTTTTAGCTTGAAGCCTTGAAGAAGCTGAGGTTATTTTGTTATATTTTCTGTTTTTAATGAAAAGTAAACAAAATTATATAGTGTGAACTTGGGAGAGGGCTGGTCGTTCAGTAGACCGGAAGTGCTGATCGTATGATTTTCTTGTAAAAACCTATACATTCCATACAAGAATACCCGTAGTTAGCACCTAACATTGTTTTACCTCACACTTCACTTGTGGAGTGAACACCTTATATTGCATAAGCTCTCTCCTTAATACAATGTTTTCAAATGCTTTCATGTTCTATATACTAGTTGTGTTTTAATAGTTATGTATAGACCAACGTATTTAGCCTCTAGCTTTCTGTAGCTAGAGAAGCTATCTTAAAATTATATAGCCAGGGAAGTATCATGCTCGTGTCTGAGAGGAAAGATCATCCCAATGCTTCAGAGCACATTATTTTTGTACTTCTTGGTCCTACCAACATGACCTAGTCTCCAGCATTTTATTCTCGTGGATCAATTCATCATTTAAAATGTACACCAGATTCACCTCTGTCTGCAAAGCCATTTAGAACCTTTCAGTAGTAGTAAAAATCATACCCCTTGGCATGTCATTATAGATTTCTGTGATTCTCCTTTAGGAAATTCTATTAGAACTCTTAAATGAGACCAATGAAGTGTAGCGCAAGGTGAGTGTTTGGCTGTGCACTGAATCCAGTTTTGCACAAAATATCTTTCTTTTTAAGTGGTTCAAATTGAAAGTGAATTTCAGCAATTTGGGCTCTGCAATTTTGTCTTTGAACTTTTGAAGGAAGGAATATATGTTTCTGAAATAGTTTGAATAGTTTTCAGCTTCTGATTTAATTAGTCATTGTAGCTGTTATGTAGTTGTTTTTAGGGGAATGTGTTTGATTTTTTTGAATGCCTTGTTTAGAATTATGTGGTCAAATAATAGTTTCAAAGAAAAATGGGATTCAAAAGGTTAAAAGAACTGTCCACTGGCATAAATGAAGTGCTATAAAAAAGACACATGACAGTAATTGATAATTTTACTTTGAGAAGTAAAGAACATATATGAATAGAAATAAAATACAAGTTTTTTGTTTTTTCTTGACAATATATCTACTGAGAAAAATAATGAGAAAAATAGACTGTCTAGACAAAATAAGACCTTGTTATTTTAATTTTCCTTCAAATAATGATTATTACCAACTGATTTGGTGTTATATGGATATATTCGTATATTTATCTAACATAAGTTAACTTAGACATAAGATGTTATTACTTGAACCGAAATTTTCTAGTATGGTCTGTTTAAGTCTAGTTTGATCTGGTAGGTCTGGTAGGTGTCTGGTCTCTGTATGTGTATTTTACAGTTGTAGAAGTCTGATCTGTTCTGGTATGAGATTGAAATAAGTTCAAGTTAGGCCTGCGACCGGTTCGGTTCTTACTCAAAATTGGTGGAACCGTTACAAAAATTTTAACTAATGAAATCGGTTCGATTCTTGTGTAAAAAATTAAGAACCATTATGGAACTGAACCAATACTTAACGGTTCGGTTCTTACTTTTATCGGTTCCTCGAATAATTTTTTCCTCATCTAATAAATGGGCACATTATTTGCTTTCTACCACATTAAAATGTCAAAAAAAAAATCAAAAACAAGTATTAAAATTTTATTTAAAGTTCTAATAACTTCAAACATCAAAGCTCAAACTTAATTAAGTGAACACTTAATAGAATAAAAGAAAGTTTCAATTTTCATTTAATAAGTAGAACATAAAAATCTTAGTTAAGATAGGAAGGTTGTTCATCATCATGGTAGCAAGATATGACGTCCACTCCAAGTATTTCAAAACATAAAAAATATATTGAGTTTGCATGTATAGTTATAGAATTATCATTGCAGTCTATTTGCTAGTAGTATAATTTACAATAAATCTAATAGTTACAAATATAATGAAGATAGTGAAGTAAAATATATGCAATCAACTACAAGTTATTTGAGTTATTTTATATTTATAAAATATATGTGATTTAACAAAACTTGATTTTGTAAAAATGGGCTTAACGTATTCAATCTCTTGTGCAATATTGATTACTTTTGTTTTCGTTGGTTAAATTAGAATTGTTGGGTAAATATCATTGATTGTACTATTATTGTTATTGTTGATATTATTGTTATTACTATCACGGTTCTTTAACGGTTCTGTGCACATATTTTTTATAGTAACCAGGAATCGAACCGTTAATAACAACTAGGAACCGAACCGTTAAGAACTAATACCACATTTGTAGGAACCGAACCGGGTTATAACGGTTCGGTTCCAACCGGTTCTACGGTTCCCGGTTCCAAAATCACATCCCTAGTTCAAGTAAAAACATAATAGAATTAAATCGAAGTGTACTTTTTTGAAATTCAAATAGCATATTCTGTGCTTCAAAACAATCATGAAGTTGACATAAAAATCCGGTTTTTCTAGAAGCTATTTGAGAAAATAGTTCTGAAATATCTTCAAAACGCATTTGAAAAATAGTTTTCGAAATTATTCTTTAGAGGTTTAAGTTTGAATACATAAAGTATGTTTGATAGATTGTCAAAACATATTCTTGGTTATTAGATTAAGAATAGTCAGATTGGAGTAGTAACCGAATTACACATGGAATAGAAGTTTGTTTGGGAGTTTGAAGTAGTTGAAAGCAGATTATCACTTGAGGCTTCTTTATTATAGTAATTTTGAGTACAAGAGTTGAATTTACACACGTTTTGAGTAAAAGGTTTTGGAGTGCTTTATTAACATATACGTAGTATATTTTTTTTGAAATTAGGATTCAATTAAAATGAAGCTAAAACAGGATATATAAGTGTGCCTTCAAGATCTGATGCCATTGCACCTTTAACAGTATTAGGAACGTTTAGTAAATTAAATAAATCTCTAACTATTGAGAATCTAAACCATATTTGGCTAATAGGTGAGCAACTTCATTGATTTATTTAAAGCAGCGTGTCCCTGATATGCAGGTCTGCAACAACGACCTTAATCATAGCAAATTTGCTCCTATGTGGCCTTGGGGATTTGCTCCTATGTGGCCTTGGGAATCAGACTCAACATAGAAGTGAGTGTATCCTGCTGTTTAGCACCATTTCAATAGAAGTGAGTGTATCAGGCGAGTAAAATTGCCACTCAGATACTCTTTCACAAAGTCCATTCTCAGATAATTAAGCTTAAGTTTTATATTCTCCTCATAATCACTTGTGTCATACAGAAAATTATCATCGATGATACTGAACATTGACTCTTTGTGGACTTTTCCCGAAATGTTATTGAACTCCCAAGCCGCAACGTATCTTTGAGCTTCCAGTTTGCCAGAGGACATTAACCTAACCAGAGAAAACCCATCACGATGATCACATGGAGCCTTATCAAGAATCCCAAAACCCAATACAATGTCTTTCTTCTGTTTCCAGTCAACCCAAACAGGAAAAAGATCCTTGAGGAAATCTCCTCTTACAAGACAACTTCCACAAAAACAGTCATGACCCGACAAACGTAGTTCTGAAGGGAGACCCCACGAAGAGAATGAGTTGCAGACAGTTGATATAGCATGTGGATCCCTCCTGTCATCCGGTGGTCCGTAGAAAAAGACTAAATTCACAATTCCAAAATGAACCCAATAAAATGCAGTGGCCAGATTCAGATGCCCACTTGAACTGGTCATCATCTTGGTAGTTGGTCGAAGCTTGGTTAATTTGAAAACAGTGATGTATTCAGGGTTTTGGAGATTGTGGGCCCATGCCCCATTGCAACACCGGCACAAATGGTTTTCTCACATCACAGTGTATTAGTAAATTGTTTGAGGAAGCATATATATCAAAATGCCCTGTGGATAAAAAAATCAATATTTAGTAAAGTAGAAACTTGACACCTATCGGATCTCAAAATTCCCGAAATGTACATTCGACCCTGAAAGTTGTATTCCTCAGATTGTTTTAATTAAATTTCATTTTATCGGGTCAAATGATATATAAATCATCCTCCCAACTATTATGAGCATCTAGAATGAATATATATTTCCCAACTTTGATTTGGTAGTCCTTGGATTTTTTTATGAACTGTTATCTGATAAATTATCAATACCATTAATTGGGTCTTGTTTGACAAATCGGCCAACTTTATTCCTTTGCTGCGGCTATTGATGGACTCGGGCCGGGTTGGGCTCGGGCCTAGGCCCGGTCGGGCCGCCGGGTAGTATGACATGGGCCCGGGACCGGCCCGAGGGTTGGACGGGTCCGGGCCGGGCCACCCGCCCGGGTCACGGGTCGGGTCCGGTTCGGGCCGGTTAATTTTTTTTTATAATTTATATTTTATAGTTTATAGTTTTATACGAGTATTAAAAACAAACTTCAATTGCATTTATTTGAAATGAAATAGGAACTACATTTGAAAATTAAAACAAACTTTAACAGATAAACATTTTGAAAATTGTAATCAATCGGAACTTCCCGCACCTCCCGATCCTTTGGCTTTGTCACATGACTTCATATGCTTGATTGCCATTCCGAATCCGTCAGAAACCCTCATGCTACATTTTTTCTCGCACCATTTGCAAATTGCGTACCACATCCCGGTCTTCGGGTCCTTCCGCTTATCAAAATTATACCGTATAATGGCATCTTGATTTTCCATCTTAACTTCTTAAGTATAAACTATAAAGTAGATATATAAATAATAAATATAATATATTGGAGAATAAGAGAATTAGAGAGTAGAGAGTTAAGAATAGGATTTAGGAAGAATTGGAGAAGAGATATGAAAAAATGTTTAAGATTAGGAGTATTTATAGGTTTTTTTACCCCCCCCCCCCCCACCACCCCCCCACCAGCCAACCCCCCCGGACCCCCCCTTTACCCCACCCAACGGCTATATAGCCGTTTGGGTTGTCCCCAGCCCCACCCCCAACGGCTAGTAGCCCAAACCAATTTTTTTTTTTTAAATTAGACCCGGGCCCGACCCGGCCGGGCCGGGTCACAATAATCCAGCACCGAGCCCGCCCCGCCCCTTCTCACAGGTTCGGGTCCATACCCGGTCCCGGACCGCCCGACCGGGCCGGTCCCGGGCCCGCACAGTACCGGGCCGGGTCACGGGCCGGGTGGCCCGAACTGAATCCAACCCTAGCTGCGGCCCAACATGAATATACAACATCATATAAATATTATCTAGACTAAGATGAATATAATATGCGGCCTCGAAAATATCGAGTGGTCTCTGCTCCCGTTGTGGGCCCCACATGCATTCTACTAACACTTGATATAAATAACAAAAATTTACAACCTCGTAAATTCATTAATCATTTCTCAAAGTTCAATACACGATTTAGTAAAAATAAATATACTTGGGGACAGTGTTACACGACCGCTTCCCCATATTGCCCCCAGAATGTCTTCAAAATCATACTTTGGTTTTCGGTTTGTTGTTTTTGTGGTTGGCTGTTTTGTTGATTTTTGTTGCTTCACCACGTTTGTTTTGTTGGTGCTAGCGTGGCTTTTGGCAGGTTGCTGGTTTTTGATTGGGAAGGTTATCCTTGTTGGATAACCTACACTTTTGTTTCCCTTTCCTTGTTTGTACATTCTTGAACCCCTCTTTCTCTTGGGTGTCTTTTTAATATACTTACATTTCACCCCAAAAAAATCATATTCCATGACTCTTGCTGCCTCCTCATATTGGGTAATCCGTAATATCCCGTAAACCTCCATTCCGATTTGCCCTCCACCTAGCTACTGAACTATACAATCGACGTAGTTTGCACCCCAAGTGTTGATCAAGACCTGAATTTCTTCACGCCACCGAAATCAATACTGTCCCTTTACCCGTGACTTTTAATTGCAAAATTGTGTTAAACCTGAATTGCTGTCATACTTGGTCACAACGAAGTGATTGTGCCTTGGTTTCCATCAAGAAGACAATGTGTGGGTTCTTCTCAATTATTTTGAAAGCACTATTGTTCATTTGGTTGTATAAACTTGTTAAATAGCCCATTTGATGCTTAAATTTCATTCGAAAACTCTTTTTCCTCAGCTTATTATTCTCATCGGTCATTTTTTAACAAATACATAATATTTTGTACGTTGAATTGTGTAATAATCAAAGTAAATATGGTTGAATTTATTTTTCTGATTGAAGTAGGTGAAATTACCGTATATGACCATTTGAACTATTTTTTCATACTCTAGGGTATGTTCTTTTCTTTATTTGATTAACATAAAACTATGTATAATTTTTTTTATAATTGAATAATTTACTACGTATGCGAGTAGAGTTGTATACAAATCAAATAATTTATACTCGATTCGAGATTCGAATTCGTATAAGACTACTCGAATTCGAAAAATTCAAATACAAATAAAAATACTAAGTTTGATTCAAATTGTTATCAAATACAAATATGAATATCAGTATATTCGATTCAAATGCTAATCAAGTATATTTGATTAACAATAGTGATATTATTATTAATAATAATAATATTATTAATAATAACAGTAATAGCACAAATATAACTTTTAAAAGTTAGTTATACCCTCAAAGTGTAACTCGTACATACATTTACGTATACACATTCTATGTCCATTTGTAATAAATCACAAGTATCAGAAGAAGTAAGAGTTGTAAATGAAGTAAATAATTTTAATTCGATTTGTGATTTGGACTAAAAAATATGATTTAAGTTTGAAGATATAGAATATAAATACGATTACAAATCAGATATTTGGTTCTAACATCTTTCACATACGAATAAAAATAAGTATTTATTCGATTTGAAGAATAATCAAATACGGAGTACATTCATTTATACATATACAAAATCAACTACCTAGTATGCGTGTGTATAGTATAAACTATATATCTGATGGTTCATTTTACTATCTAAAATGCTAAATATCTAACATAAAATTAGAGTCGTTGAATTTGATATATATAATTATCACCTTTTTTGACATATTATATGTATAATTTCTAATGTGTGTTAGTGTTTATTACATAACATTTGAAATAGATTTATATATAGTAATCATAAAATTGATTCACTTCACTATATTGTGTACACCCTGGAAATGCATCGATCCATTAAGTTTTAAGGAAAAATGTAATTTTAAAAATTAAATTCTTAAAACACATATTAAGTTATAGCATGCATTTAAAAGATATAGAAATATTTGTTTTAAAGTGATTTGAATAATATAACTTTAAACAAATACAAATTCAAATACAAATCGAAATTAATATTCATTTTATTAAAAAAACAACAAATATAAAATCACACATTTGAACTGAGAGTACTAAATAGAGGATATCAATAGTTCCCACCCCTCCCGACATTGCAAGGCCAAAGAACTACGTGAATGATTAACAACAAGACGGGAGGAAGGGTTCGTTGAACGTTGTAGGACAAGAGAATGGAAATGGTGTCAGATGGTTATGGATCTTTCATAGATAAATTCTCACTCCAACCAATTGTTTCTTCTTCACAGCTTCCCTTACATGGCCTCACATTTTCTTTAAAAGATGTAATTCCCCTCGACCCTCTCGCAGAAAGAGCTAGTAATGTAATTCAGTTCGAATCTTGCGAGTTTACTCCATTGGTCGATCATCATGTGTTTCACTTTTGCTGTTTAGTAATTTATACATTTACTAACTAATACGGAGTATATAAATTATTATTTTTTCCTTTGTAAATACGTAGTAACAAATAGTAATAATTTGGCATTAGATTCGATGTGGAAGGGTACGTGACGTGATTTGGTAACCCAGATTGGGCAAGGACTCATTCTGCAGCAGCATCCACTTCACTTGTGGTTTTGGATCTTCCAAGGGCAGGTGCCACTGCTGTTGGCAAGACTGTCATGGATGAAATGGCATACAGGTTGTTTGCTCATCTCCAAGTTTTTTTAATTCAGTTTCAAACTCTCAAAAATGTTGTCATTGTTCCAACTCTAAACATAATAGAATGACGAAAATTCCCTAAAAAGTGAAACACAACACATTTCCTCAAACAGGAGTGGAATGTATCGAACACGAGTATCATTGCTTCCTATTGGGAAGCAATGCTAATAGAAGGGAGTATGGTTGTTTTTCTGCCAAACAATGACCCATTCATTACTACTTTGGAAAGTTTTCATTGTTTTATGATTTTAGTATATTTTCCCGAAATTTTCAAGTCAGTCTGGTCTAGTAGGCTCTATTTAAGTTCAAACGAGCCTAGTCTGATAAGGGCTAATATTATTTGTATTTTACTGCTACCTAGTCTGTTTCATCTGGTTGAGTATGATATGTTTTAGTCTACTCAAGTTTGATCTGGTCAGAGATGAAATCTGTCCTGTTTAAAATATTCTTAATACGATTGAAGAAGTCCTATTTTCCAAATAAAACCTACTTGGTCCTAGTTTTTAACTTTGTTCACGTTTTACTCGCAATTTTTTACTAGAATATTGTTTACACTGTCAATACAGTTTCCTCAGATGAATTAGTTGTGATGGGTAATGTTCTTTTTGAAATGGTCAAATATAAATATACAAATTCAAATATAATGCAGGAACAAAATCACATACAAACTCAAACTGACATGCAAAACCTTCCACTACTCTATCCCATAATGTCACTTTTAAAATTTTAGGATGGGACCTAAATCTTCAATACTTATGATTCAAGAGTTTATTATGATCAAATGAGAGATATGATCCGAATATCCGATCAAGTCTCAGAGGATTAAATCCCAAGTGTTGGACTGCTGGTCTATTAATTTGAAACTCATGCATATATTGGCAATATAAACGGTGAGAACATCCACTATGGGACACCCAGAAATCCATATGCTGCAGATAGGGTTCCTGGAGGGTCATCTAGTGTGGAGCTGCTGTTAGTGTTGGTGCGATGCTGGTGGACTTCTCCTTAGGTACTAATGTTTATTCATTTGAAGTGTTTGTGCATGTCATGTTTTTGAGTCTATAGTTCATGAAATGGTTTCAATCTCTCACAGGTACTGACACTGGGGGAAGTGTAAGAGTCCCTGCATCCTATTGTGGAATATTTGGAATCCGACCGTCTCATGGAGTTGTTTCGATTGCTGGAGTTATTCCAATGGCACAAAGTTTTGATACAGTTGGTGAGAAATTAGTACTGTATAATACTTCACCTATCTCACCAGATTTTGTTAATTTTCTTTATTTGACTGCCTCAAAAACTTTGTCACTTGTTTTAAAGTAATAAACTCATGATTAATATTATTTCTTTCTCCTCTGCACAAACCATAACCGCACAATTTTTACTTTCTCATTCAAGGTGCAAGTCAAGTTTGTCAAGTTTAGTGGAATGGTGGGAGTATGTTTTATAAAAAGTATCAGTAGTAAGAGACAGTTAGAGGAAATGATGTTAGTTCTAATAGTTTAATTCCCTCATAACTTTGAGAGCTCAATGTATTATACTACCTCCGCTCTGAAAAGAATTATGTGTGGTCAATATAAGACTCTTTAGTTCTGGTAAGGCACTTCTGAGATAAATCATAAAGCTACATTTCTTTGGTAATAACATATGAACATTTCATATGTTGTCACGTGACCTGTCTGTGATTTTTTGTTTGAAAAAATTGCCTGATAATTAGTTTAGTTTGATGAATAGTACTCTGTGTATTGTTTGAAGCGGATAAATGGATTTAAAACGTTTAATGGCCCATACGGAATTACTTTAAGGTTCAGGGTTTTTAATGTGAAATTGTCAAATTGATGATTCCATTTTTTGTCATGTCTAAATGTCATATAATGAGTATGAAGATTGTTAATTGGAATTCTAAAAAAAGCTTGTAATGTTCAATCAGGGAAAGATTTGAACCAATTTGATGGACAAATAGATTTAAAATGCTTAAGGGCAACTAGAAAACTACACGAAGACAAGAGATATTAAATGTGGAATTGATGATTCAATCCTCTTTATGTCTTGTATTTTGTATGAAGAGTGTCAATGGTAGTGACTATACCATCAAAATTCTAATGAATAAATTCGCTTTTCAGGATGGTTTGCTAGGGATTCATCTATCTTAAAGAAAGTAGGGGAAGTCTTATTGTCTTCTCAAAACTTGCATCCCACTAGACCTGATCAAGTTATCATTGCAGAGGATTGTTTCAAGCTTCAAGACTTTTGGGGCATCCAGTCACCAACAGCATTTGAAAAATTCAGTAAAGAAGTTATACGGATGTAAGTGATTTACATATTGAATTCGCATGTTGTGACAACAACAACGACATGCAACAAGAATTCACATGTTCTGACCTTTTAGAAAATTAAAAGTGGATGAATAAGTTGTGCAAGTGAGACCATTAAACACACAAGTTTGGGAGAATTTGTTGAGAATAATGTTCCAAGTCTGAAATCTTTCATAGACCAAGGATATGGAGATCAAGAATATATACCCTCTCTATTAGCTCTTTCAAATGCTATGCGATTGCTTCAAAGGTGTGGGGAAAAAGTGAATTATGTACTGGTTTAGACATTACGTTTGTTTCTTTTTATGGTTCTTGATAGAGTTCCAGTAAGGAGAAATCTATGAGTTAATCATAAGATTTTAGGTTGAACTAGCTAATAGACTTGATTCGATCTTTTTTGGTCCAAGTGTCTTATGGCCGAGTTGAGCAACCCAATCCAGTATTGAATTCTACTCGTTTTTTGCCTACCTTGTGTTTTATTCTAAGTAATTCATTTTGGTACACTTGAAATGGAAACATATCATGAAACTGTGCAGATATGAATTCAAGAAGAACCATGGTGAGTGGGTTAGCACAGTTAGGCCAAATTTAGGTCCAGGGATAACAGAACGGGTTTGGGAAGCACTCAAGACTACAAATGAAAGGATAGATGTCTGTCTCTCTATAAAGTTTGAACTAAAAGCAGCTCTCAGTACACTCTTGGGGGTAATTGAAACCTCTCATTTATGTACACTATGTTGTTCTCATTTTCGACCCGTTGAATGTTACTCTTCCCCAAATTTTAGGAGATGTTCAGAATCTCAGATTATAAAACTTGACTACAATAAACTTCAACTTTCGTTTGGTTGTATTTAATTTAAAGTTAATAACAAAACAAGAATATGGGCCATAGTCTTGAAAACAATGTGCTCTTTAATATGAGCAACGATGCTATGAAGAGAGAAACGAACTGCGAAAGCAATCTTTTCTCAATTAATTGTTCTGACTCTTATTTATGAATAGGATGGTGGCATACTTGTGATACCTACCGTTCCTGGAGCTCCACCAAAGCTACAGACAGATCCCAACAGCTTGGAAGCCTTTCGTGTCAAAGCTTTTAGTCTATTATCCGTTGCTGGAATATCAGAGTTTTGTCAGGTTAAGTTTCTCTCAACTCTTCCCCACCCATAAGTATAACAACTATGACAAAAGCTATTCGTTAGCTACTAAAATTTGTTTATCTTGCTCTTCTTATTCCCAAGTTTTCTTCATTTTCATTTCTTTATCTAGGAGCCAAAGACTCGCTATTTTTTGCAATGGAGCCAAAGACTCGCTATTTTTTGGTTTAGTACATCCGACCACCGACACCTTATCCCACCTAGGAGCCTTTGCGGCACTGGGTGATGATGATGATTTCTCTTTTAATTGTAAGACATTCATTTTCACGTTTGTTAACACACAATTTTGACCACTAATATAATTCATTCCCTATTTGTAATTTTTTTTTAAAAATCACATTTTGAAAATTTAAAATGAGAGAAATCTAATTATATTTTTAAAAAAATTAAATTCTTAGTGCATTTGTAAATGAAATGTAGTCAAAAAAACTACGTGAATAGTGTAAAATTTACAATGTTGCAATTATTTAAGAAAACTACGTGAATAGTAGTAGACTCTTGTTTTAAAATAATGAAGTATGATGGATTGGGAATTCATGTGTTATATTTATATTTATACTTCCTCCATTTGTGGAGGTATTTTAAACAAAGAACTTTTTCCTCTGATGGAGAGGAGGAAGAGCATGGGGCGGGAATGGGCTTGGGCCCACTTCAATGGGTCGATTATGGGCGGGAATGGGCTTGGGCCCACTTCAATGGGTCGATTATGGGCTGGGTTATCCGTGGGCTGAGTTATTAATTTTAATTAGCTTCAATTATGATGTTCACTTTAGTATGCTTCTTATTATGTTAAGCTAAATTATTACTAATAGGCCATTATATTTTTCTTTTTTGCAAATAATAGGCCATTATATTAGTCACCTAGTTATAGCCTAGGCACTTAAACTCTAAATATGCCATTAGTCACCTAATTGTAAATATGCCACTATACTAGGTGGCTGGTGCCTAATTGCCATTTGCAAAAATGCTCTCCTGCACTCATTTGGGTGGGGTGGGGACTTAAAGATCTCCCGTGTCCCATATTATAATTATGAGTCAAAGTTCTGTATTTATATAAGGTTATGAACCAAACAGAGTCTTAAGGATTGGACCAACAGGTAAACATACCACTCGGAGCATATGGCAACCTTCCTGTTGGAATATCATTGTTGGCAAAGCATGGCTCTGATCTTTTCCTTCTCGATACTGTTGATGCTATCCATGGAAGTCTCAAGGAGCATATTGAAATGTTAAAAGACTGATTACTTTTCCTCAGTAAGTTTCTGTGCTTAATTGTTTCTTATTTCTCCTCTCCACTTTTACATACTAAAACAGCACCACTGAACATTAATATTTATCCAAGAGTTTTTTATCTGTGGAAATTCTTTTAACAACAGCTGATCAGAAGAACAAGTGTTTGCGTAATACACTAATACTGTGTACTAGTGTGTTATTTTCTATAAATCAACAAGGATTTACATCAGACAACGTAACACAGTAAAAACCATCACATATTTCACACACTCAAACTGACACAATAACTAAATAAAGAAAGTGCAGGCCTTCCTTTAGCACAACACAGACATTATAATTACACAATACATAAGAAGCTAGCCGCCCTTACTAACACTCTCCTTGTCATTGCCCTTTATTTTTACTTCAACCACTAACAATTGTTCCTCCTGCAAAAGCGTACCAGAAACATTACATTTCTCAGGAAATGCATAAAACATGCATCAGCTATGACTAGAGTATGTCTTTTACCAAAAAGAAAAAAGGCAAATGTCTAGCGTACCATTGGGGTGGAGGACTTGGCCTGTGATGTAACTGGATTCCGGGCTGGACGCGAGGAAAACATACGACGGAGCCACCTCGATGGGGTGGCCTGCCCTCTGCATTGGAACTTCTTTACCAAAGCTTTGACATTCGGATTCGGTGAATGAAGCCGGGATCAGCGGTGTCCAGATTGGACCAGGGGCAACCGCGTTCACACGTATCCCCTTGTTCACCAACTGCAGAGCAAGCCCTCTGGTGAACGCCACAATTGCGCCCTTCGTTGCGCAGTAATCAAGCAGCTTCGGACTCCCTTTGTATGCTGTCACTGAGGTTGTGTTTATTATTGAGCTCCCTTCCTTCATGTGCTTCACTGCATGCCTGAAATCATCAGGATACATATTTTGAAATGGTGACATATGTGCATGAGCATGACTAAAAAGGATAGAAGAGAATGGATGTGATATATACTTGGTAAGAAAGATATGGGAAAAGATATTAGTCCTAAAAACCCTCAAAAGCCTAGACTCTTCAATCTCCTCAATCGACCCGGTCTCATACTGCTCGGCTGCATTGTTGACAAGAATATCAATCCTCCCGTAAGCATTCACCACTGCATCCACGACCTTCTTGCAGTTCTCATCGAACCCCAAGTCGGTCGGTATTGCCATAGGTTCTTTTCCACCTTTGGATGCCTGCTTTAAGATCTCAAGGGTGTCCCTGGCATCCTTGTCCTCTTGTGGTTTCACGTAGGTGAATGCCACCGTTGCACCCTCCAATGCAAAGCAGTGGCAAACAGCTCGCCCGATCCCCGAATCTCCTCCGGTCACCAGTGCGATCTTTCCCTGCATACAAGTTTTTAACGTAGCATTAGTAGGGGAGTACATACTCTGATCTGCACGCATGCATGCATGAGCAGTTGATATTGAAAAAGTTTGTGAAAAGAGAAAAAAGCAAGCAAAATCACAACTTAACAAATAAAATACTTGAGAGGAAGTGACCATAACCAAAAAGGAAAGCTCAGTGAGACGGGGAAGCAGAGATAAATAAGGAAAATAGATTAAGAAAGAAAGGAAATTTGAAGTATATACTTGAAGCCTGTTGGAAGGCTTATAATCTTGAGAAGAGAAGCGAGGGGTGGGATTCATGAGGTGTTCTCTGCCAGGTTGAGAGTCCTGCTTTTGCGGAGGGAAGTGGTTGCCGTCCGATGCCATGACCGCCGGAAAGTGAACGCGAGGTGGTTTACGGTGCGTTGCGGTGGCGCCGCCCACGTACTTTTAAGAAGTCAATTTAAAACAGGTACTTGTGTGATTTAGTTTGGTTATGGTAGTGGAGAAATGAAAGGGTGTGGCATTGTATATATAGGCAAATGGACGTGAGGGATCGAAGCGGCGAGAAGTACGTGGCAGGCGGAGAAAGTGTATAAGGTTTGGCTTGGGGCTACAGGCGGTGGACACGTCCGATCCTAAAATTAGGAAAACGCTAGGTGTATGTGGATCCATCTCATATGCTAAAACGTAAATATCTAAGTTTAAAATGAATTCTGGAAGGTAACACGTAAATATCTAAGTTTAAAATGAATTCTGGAAGGTAACACAGTTATTTTCAAGACTTCATTTGAATGCCTTTCTGATCGAAGTTTTAACTTAAATTTGGTCTGATTAAACTAGACTTAATGAATAAGATGCTCAAAAGATTTCATCAAAAAATTCCACCTGGAACTGCTCTGAGTGCGACGGCCGGACAGAGCCTCCTGTACAAGGACTTATTTGACCATTTTTATACAACTTCGATGACCAATCTGTCCCTTACCTCTATATCTAAATATAGAGGACGATTCATGTCCAACCCTTACCTCTAAAAATTGATTTTATGCTCATCAATTTTAAGCTAAAAATTCAATCGGGAAGGTAGTCAAATAAATTGTTTTATAACCCTGCGTTGTTTGTATATCTTTAACTGTGCAATGTTCTGAAATAATATATTTAGCTGCCTTCGCGATTGAAGTTTTAACTCAAATTTGGTGGACATAAACTAGATTTGGTGAAGAACACCTCAAAAAAATTATCAAAAAGTTTCACCGTGAAAGTCCCAAACGACCTCGACAGGATCGCGGTTTCCCTCGGACCGGCCGGTCCCGTTTGAGTCTAACTAAAAACATCTTAATTTTTATGCCGCAATATAATTAAATAGAGGGGGTGGAGACGTGGCAAATGGGCGTTAAAAGTACAAGTGTACCAAATGCGTCAGCTGCTTTGCATGGATGCAACGTGTGGCATATACATGCATGCATGCACTTTGATATGTTTGACCTCATCGATCTCCGGCCTTCGTAGTTATCGATCTTAAATAATACTCCTTCCGGTTCCAAAAGATGTTAACATTTTGATTTCACAATTTTTTAGGAAATAAACACTGTTTGATACTGTTTAGCACTGTTTGACACTGTGTTTTGTGTAGATTTATTTGTCAAATAAGGCAAATAAGGAAGTGTAAAGATCTTTCTGGTACTACTAAAAATGGAAAGTGTAAAGATCTTAGCTTCGATCACCTGACCCGGCCATTAGTCCTGCCTTAGCTTAGTTTCATCTTCAAATCTCATCTCTAGTCTCAGCTCTACCCTTTAGTTTCTTGATCTCTATATATATTTTTCTGATCGATCTGTTAATCACCATCATATATATCATATCCATGGCATCTCACCGATTCGCTGCAACAATTTGGGGTTTCCTCATCGCCTTTCTCTTTGCTTCTCTCTTGGTTCGCTGCGATGGTTAGTCACAAACTGCCCGCCCACCTATTTCAATTCATTTTCACTTTAATTTTGAAATTTTTACTTTTTTTATATTTATACGAAGTATATTCCTATTAAAAATTTGAAAATTAGTAAAATGGCTGCATTGATTATTTTTTAAGTAAACATTGTACTTAGCTTAGCTTCTTTTGTTTCCTTGACATAATTTTACTTTTTTAAATATGAAATCACTTCAATTAGGAGTAAAAGATAGACATATTGCACAATTAATAGGGTATGTTTTATTTAGTCCTATTAAAAGTTTATAAATGACTTCATTAGGAGTAAATTCAATTCCTAATATTTTAGGAAAAAGTCGATGATAATTTTTAATTTCGTGTCTAGCCAAAACGCTAATTCTTAATTTATATATGAGAGATCTAGATGTACTTTTTTTAGAAATTGAGAGTAGGGGGTGAATTTCACAAAAGCTAAATTATGTACTCCGTCCTTCCCAAATATAATTGAGTTACAAATTGAGTTACAAATTGAGTTACAAAATTGACTTTTTGGGTCAAATAGATTCACTTTATTCACTTAATTAGAATATATTAATTATTAATTAAATTTTAATTTGAATTTTATTACTTTATAAATATTTTAATAAAGATTTTAACATTAACTTTTGAATATGTAAATTTCAATAATTAAAGTTGAATTAATTAATGAATAGAGAAAATTTAACTTTAATAATTTGGAACAGAAGGTATCTAGTACTCCTCCGTTCCTATTTTATGTTCCAAATAGGTTTGGAACACAATTTAAGATAGTGAGTATTGTGTGGTGGAAAGTTGTGTAGAAGAAAGAGAAATGTGTAAGAAATGTTGTGAACCACAAATTCTTTACTAAAAAGTTTTAATTGGAATTAACGAAAAAGGAAAGTTGAAAGTTTTAATAGGAATGTAGGGAGTATGAATTTGTAACAGTAGTACGGAATAGTAGACAAATTCTGTTTTCCCCCATAAATGACTTTTGACATTACATGAATGTTAACATCAGATGAGGAGGATCATCTTCTGCAAGGAATCAACAGCTACCGGCAATCCTTGAAAGTGCCGGCCCTGGCCAAGCACGACAAGGCGAATTGCCTCGCTGAGGAGATAGCTGATGAAATAGAAGACCAGCCCTGTCCGCGGGCGGGCAGCCGAAGCAGCCCGCCCCAAATCGGGAACTTACAGAAACACCTGGACAAGTGTAAGATAGACGCTAACTCGACTAAAGACGGGACAATACTGCCCGTCTGTGTCCGTAAGCGAGTCCCTACTCTGGTTCTCACCAACTACACACAGTCATTTCAAAACGCGAAATTCCTCAACGATTCCCGGTTCACCGGAGCGGGAATCGGGACGGACGATGACTGGACGGTGCTGGTGTTGACCACCAACACTGAAGCAGGGATGTTCGCAGCAGCGTCGGCTGCTGTGGTCAATGCAAGTCAACGGTTGATGTATTTGTTGCAGGTGGCCGCCGGAATGTCCCTTTTCATACTGCTGTAGATCGATCTGAATAGTTTGCTTTGTCTTGTGTCATTAATTAATTGCTTAAATTTGCGGTATTAGACTATGAGTTAGAATGTAATATCTGTAATATACTCTGTTTCAGTTCCGGTGATTTGTGTAATAACTTGTCATGTTTTTCTCTTTAATTTAGAGCTAATTTGTTCACTAAATGCATATTCTTTTGACTCGATGTTAAAATTTCATGCTGAATTTTATAATAGGACTTAATAAAATAAGTAAGGTTGGAAATCACTTAAAATTAGTAGTATATATATTATATATATGTGCCGTGAAGAATGTGTAAGAATGATTGTGAACCATAAATTTTTTGCTAAAAAGGGAAAGAGAAGGTAAATTTGAGACAAATCGAAAAGGAAAGTATGAAGATAATTTCGGGACGGAGGGAGTATAATATAAACTGTTGACGTGATGGTAGTAGCGTGACTCTTGCAGAGGTTGTGTGTTCGATTTCTTGGGGTAGCGGTAATTTTTTTTTTAAATTTTCATTCAAGTTTTAGAGCATGGTATTTTAAAATTTTCAATTTTTTCCCAAACAACCTCTTCTTCCCTTACACGAATCTATCTTAGAGGCCGTTTGGCAACTCTCATATTCAGCTTATCAGGCTTATCAGCCAACTTTTTTACCAAACACGTAAATTTTGCTTTCGCGAGCTGAATTGTGTAATAAGCTGAAAAAGTAAGGTTGGAGTTACTTTTCTGGCTGTAGATGACCATTTTAGCTATTTTTACATATAATTTTTTCTTTATTTTATTAATAAAATATATTTTAAAAATATTTTTTTCTTGTATCAGCAGAATCAGCCAGAACAGCCGATTTTCATGCTGCCAAACGGACTCTTAAAGTTTGAATTTTAGACTTTTGAATACTAGCATGCAAAAATTAATTAGTCCAATACTAGCATGAAAAAACTCAAAAACTAATTAGTTCAATTGATTGAGCTTTTTGAACATTATCCTAAAAATTAATTAGTTCAATTTATTGGGCTTTTGAATATTGGTCTGAAAAAATAATTAGTTGAATACATTGGGTTTGGTGGGTGAAAATAAGTTTTTTTTACATATAGTATAGATTTTAGAGTTAAAAAATCGGTTTATCTGGTTTCTGAGAAATTGACCAAAAAATTGGCACTAAATTTTTCGTTAACCGATAAAACTTCGATTCGATATCTATGATTTTTAAGATAATTGTATTGTCGGTTCTATAATATTTACCTTTTTCTTTGACATTTCTATATTCCTCTAGTATTATTACACTACATTTTGACATTTTTTTGTAATATACGTTATTTAATTAAATTTTGGCCCCTCTTGAACATAAATGCTAGATCTGCCCTGAGCCGAAGGTTAGAGGACCACTATGAATATTCTTTTATATAATTTTTACTTGTATGTTAATTTATTAAGAAAATATTTTTTTTTTCATAATTAAGTAAATTTAGCCAATTGCAGTCTGAAATTTCATCTATTTCAACCGGATTACCAATTAATTGGCTCATTTTTTATTAGTAGTGACACTTAATTAAAAGTAAAGATAAATTAGTATTGACATCCTCGTGAATCATATGTAATATAATGTAAATGAATTTAAACGGTTCTAATCCAATGCATCAAGGGTAGATCTAGAAATCTAGGTTGGGCTACTGTCAAGGGTGATTTCTGTGGCTCCCTTTCGGAACCTCATATGAGCAATGGGAGAAAACCGGTACATGCTATTAGAGTACATGCCGTTAGAGTAGAGTCTGAGACAAGCGATGGAGTTTTCAACATCACGATAGGGATACTCCGTGAGTGCTCGGTTCAGCTTTCAATCGTCTGCGCGTCCGGCACCGTCCAAGGTTGCGACCATTCGGTGACTGGTGGCCAATTTTTCAGAGTAGCGAACAGAGACCTGCGAACATGCTTGAGGTCGGTCTATGCGTAAAATCATGGCAACTCGTGATGGAGCTCGTGAAAAGGATCACTGGTTCTGGAATTTAAAGGGATGCAACTCCATGCTTGTATTTCTCATTTCCGCGTGGGACTCTACCTGGCAACTGGGGCAGTTATATATCAGCTCAAACTTCTCCAACAACAGTTACATATGAGTTTGGTGTTTTAATAGAAAGCAAATTTTTTCGATTTAAAATTCAATGCATCGAAGTTCACATTTCTAAAACTAAACGTAGTGTTGTTTCCCTCAATTGATACTTTGTTTAGAGAATCTGAAAATCTGTTTGTTTAAGTTAGGAAGCGGACATGGATGATATTCACATAAATAGGTCAATTGAGCTCACTTTTTGCTTCATATTTAGTTCAACTTTTGTTAACTTTGATTGGTCTGTTTTATTTTTCCAATCAAAATCCAGTTTTATATCATGGAATATCTACCGACAAGTGACCGAACCACCGCCGCAGACCGTCGCCGACCGCTGGCTTGACTCCACGGCCCGTCACCTCCCAAGACCCCTCCCTAACCCCAGCCACCTTCAATCCCCCAGCCACCTCCCCATCCCCCAAGCCCCCATCCCGATCCCCAGCTCCCCCGTCTCATCTCCCCAGACCCATAGCACCCTCCCCCAGACCTCGCCCAGCAGCGACACACTACACCCCACCCAACAACGCCACACACCACCTTCCAGCCTCACCCCAGACAAATTCGATCTGGAAATCAGATCTGGAAATAAGAAGGAAAATCCCTAAATTCGATTTGAAATCCCAACAGAAAGGAGAAAAAGGAGAATCGGGAGTGGTGTCTTGGTAGTCGTCGCTGACTATGCGAAGAGGAGCGCCGGATTGGAGGAGAAACGGTCGATTGGAGCACCGGAGAGGATGACGTCATTGTTGTGCGGAGTAAGAAGCCTGCGAAGAGAGAAGATGCCTGCGTGCGAAGAGAAGAAAAAGCCTGCGTGCGAAGAAGAAGCTGCCCGTGAAGAAGAAGAAGAAGATGTCTGCGTGAGAAGAGAAGAAGCTTGTGTCGAAGAGGAAGAAGATTACTGCGGCGTGCCAAGAAGAAAGAAGCCTGTGTGCGGGTGTGAAGAGAGATCGACGGGATCCGATGGGCCGGGAGAATATTTTAAATCACATTTTTGTCCAATTGTAAAATAGTCATATTTTTGTCCATGCAAACTCCCTAAGTAATATTTTTGCCATTCTTTCTAAAGATAATATAGTATTGACATCCTCTTGAATCATATGTAATATAATGTAAATGAATTTAAACGGCTCTAATCCTACATTACATGCATCAAGGGTAGATCTAGAAATCTAGGTTGGGCCAAGAAATCTAGGTTGGGCTACTGTCAAGGGTAAGGGGGCCATTGCCACCCTCCCCCCCCCCCCCCCCCCCCATTTTTTTTAATTTTAGTTTTTCTATTTCACTATTAAATCGGTTCTGCCAACCCCATCCGTCAGTAAGACTTCCCTCTCCCTTCTAGTCTGGCCATATACCTTCCCATCTCTTAGAGCAACTCCAATGCAAGAGTGTGGTCTCTTACATGCTCTTACGCATGGGTCCCATTTTTTATATCACAATTTTTATGTGTAGGACCCACGTATTTCCTATTTTTTTTCTTTTTCATTTTTTTATATCACTTTTAACCCACTTTTCATCAACTTTTCCTCCTTGAATCCCGTGTAAGGTCCATATATGGACCTTGTCATAGACCTTGGTCTATTTTTACCTCTATCTCTCTCCTCTTTTTTATTTTTCCCTACACACCACTTCATCCAAATATTTATTATATCTCTATCTCTCCTATGCCACATCAGCTGCAATGCATCTTCCTATTGGAGATGCTCTTATAACTCTGAATATATAAACAAATCATGGTCAGAATTTAAGATTTCTTTGAGTTAGTTTTGGTTTTTCAAGAGGGATTAGATCGGCAACTTGGGGAGGGAAGCTCCGTACAGACGATTTCGGAACCTCATCTGAGCAATTGGAGAAAACAGGTACATGCCGTTAGAGCAGAGTCTGAGACAAGCGATGGAGTTTTCAACATCACGACAGGGATACTGTAACATTTGAGATTTAATTTAAAAGGATTAATAGTACTACTCATATCAACAAGGTGCATCTCCTTTTAAGGGAGCTCATCAGCTAAGAACTCCAAAGTTAAGCGTGCTTGCACGGAAGTAGTCTTGGGATGGGTGGACCCTCTGGGAAGTTTTTTAGGGCGCGCACGAGTGAGGACAAAGTGCGCGGAAAAGGCTAGTGGCGGTTTGTGATGACAGTACTAGAGGTCAGAAGTAACTACCTTGGGACCTACGGGGCCGGGGTGTTACAGATACTCTGTGGGTGCTCAATTCAGCTTTCAATCGTTTGCGCGTCCGGCACCATCCAAGGTTGCGACCATCCGGTGACTGGTGGCCAATTTTTCAGAGCAGCGAACAGAGACATGCGAACATGCTTGAGGTCGATCTGTGCGTAAAATCATGGCAACTCACGATGGAGCTCGTGAAAAGGATCAATGATTCTGGAATTTAAAGGGATGCAACTCCATGCTTGTATTTCTCATTTCTGCGTGGGACTCTACCTGGCAGCTGGGGCAGTTCTATATCTGATCAAACTTCTCCAACAACAGTTACAGATGAGTTTGGTGTTTTAATTATGTTGAAGGTTCCCTGATTCATCGATTTTGACAACAAAATGAAGATTGTAAAGGAAAGTGAAGAGAAGATATTCAACCTTGAAGAATTGTTACTAAGATGCATCAAAGAAAGTGAAGGAAAGTCAAATTATATAATGCATATCTGTAATACATTGAAATACTAGATTGAATTACATAATTGTTGTGATACTTTTATATATCGTTCTTGTTTTTTTTGTTGTACTAAACATGTTGCTTTTTGTTGCATCCTGATTTTCTTTGTTGCATTTTGTTGCATTTTATTACTTATTTTTGTTTTATTGATGCTCTTGATTTTTGTTGTTTATGTAGTTTTTTATTTATCTTTGATACTTCTTTGAAGTAAAAAAACATATATAGATTTATATTAAATCATCAAAAATGATAAATTTGAATTTATAAAATAATAAAAAACAAAAAGAAACAATATGCAACAAAAGGAAACAAAAAGAAACAATATGCAACAAAAGGAAACAAAAAGAAACAAAAACAAAAAACAATAAAATTATATATTTATTTTTTTACTTTGTATATATTTTGGTTCCTAAAATAGT